CTACATATTCTCTTTAATTTCATTAATGCCCCCAGTTTCCATTTCAGCAGTTTCAAATACGGTAGTTTCTGATTTAGTGCGGTATTGTGTAAATTCGTGTGTATACGCCGTAATGGCGTCTACCAGTCGTGACATACGCCCGCCCCCTATTTCTCCCAAGTTTTCATCCCACATTTCCCCTACTCTATTTTATAGACTGTGTTTTAATAAGTTTTATGCTTAGCACTCACCGCTAGTGTGTGTTTTAGATGCGTATTGATTGGTTTTGTATTGTTTGTACATATTTGAGGTTACTTTTCAAAATGTTTTTTCATATGAAGAAAAATTCCTTGTTTTACTATCATCCATGATATAACGGAGTCGCCTCAGTTATTTACCCGTTGAATCGGCTCGGTTTTGCTTGTCTTCCTCAATATCCACCACGACATTTTTCGGTACCGGTTTCTGCTTCGTATACGCTCTAAAAATTCGAATGTTCTTTAATTTTACTTCATATTCTCTGGACTCTTTTTTTGGCAAATTTGTTACGAACTACTGTGCTATTGATCTAAATGATAATGCCTTTTTGCGTCGTTTCTCATCAGAACCCGTTCCTATTGTACCCCGTTGTTCGTTCGTTTATTCGTTGTATCCAGAACAATGTGTCTTGTCATCCTTTAGGTCTATTCATTCTGTCATTTTCAAATACTGAATTACTGGAACAACTCCTCAGATATCATTATTCGCAGTTATTTTGTGCAGTAGAACGATGACGGTGAACTCGTTGCGCCGCCTGGAAAGCAATCGATAACTCATCGATTTTCATGACAAAACGAGGCCAACACTGGATAATTACGGCATAATGGCCGGCTGGTTGGCTGAAGACGACGAGTTCATCGTCAGAATGAGTTCGATGATATGATGATAATGGTATGATCGCTTCTCAGTGATATGGGTCCGGCAGCGTACAATAGTTGACGAATGGTGTTGCTAGTTTGTTTAACTAATCGTTTTGTTCTCTGCAATCGATAAGCATACCCATCACATCTTATTATATAATCGGCTATTATCGTTTATAATCGATAAGTAATTTGTTTGTTGAACTCTTAAATCTCACCACATCAAGTGTGTGTTTGGCGATGCAGCGCGCCGCTCCACTCGTGCCGGAATTATCATCAACCCAACGTTCACAGCAGCAGTAATCCGCAAACTGACTATGGACCCAGTCGTGGGACTGAACCGTATCGATTGGTAGATCTCGGCACGAATGTAGTGGCACACTGTCATTTCATTCTTCATTCATTTTCTGGTGTCTGTCTGTACGAATGCATTTGTGTGTTCATTCATGCGCTATTGATTAATTCATCAATGATAGTAAATTTTCAATTGCACAATTATTGATTGTGTGTGTCGCTATGGAGCGGTTGAAATTCGCTTCGATATTTTCAGTAAAATCAGTGATTGTTCGGTGTCTTCCTTTTTTTCTTATTGCATTTCCTATACTGATTTTTGGCAGATGTCGGTAGAACCCCATGACCTCAACATTCCAAGTGAGTCGTCGTCTTCATCCTCAACTTGTGTACCAGTTCATGCCGGCCATTCATCACAAACGGAAATCAAAGTGGAAGTGAGTTTGGGGGGTTGGATTTTTCAAGTTTCTGTCCTTTGAAGCTAGTCCTAGATATTGCCAAAGTGAATCCAAGGACAGATTGTAGTCATGGATATTTATTCAATTGAGGGATTTGATTTTTCACTTCTTACAAGAAATCTTCAGCGAGAGAAACCATGCTGCATGAAGGCTGGGACAGTTTTAACGATTTTTGTGGTTACTGTACTGTTAAACGTAGGCTCATATGTTGTCACGTGTCTCGGTTCCTTGCATAAAACACATCCCCTATAAATACGGCTCCTATAGAGAATCCCTTTGCGCAAATATAAAGCGATTTAAACGGATCGTTTTCCCTCCAGACAAGGTTAAGGTTACAATAGCACACCGCTCAACAGGTACTCTTGTGTACGTTTTGTAACTCGTGGAATGGCTGTCAATGTAGAGTGTGCGCCGGTTGATATCTTAAAGCATCTTAGTTGTCCTTTATCAACCGTAGGCCTATGTTGATAAAGGACATACTGGAAGACGCTTCAAGATATCAACCCGCGCACGCTCTATATTGACAGCACATTAATTTTCCGAGGGTGATCTTTGATGGGGAAATTATGATTTTAATGAAGCACTGGGCTTTGCCTTGTCGTACAGGCAAAAACCTCCTCCCCCTTGAAATGGGATTAGCCCCATTAGCCCAATTCTTAGTTGTCCCTCCATCTTAGTTGTGATAAATTTCGCGATGCTTTGGGATAAAGTTGGGAGTACTTGAAAACTGTTTTGGCTGTCAAGAGGAAGGAGGGATTTTTAACTTAAGAGATTTGGGGGGATTGAGAACGGTAGAGTTGCCTCGTGGGCCGTGCTTCCAATTGAAGGTCCATAGCAAATGTGCTGTTTTTTGTATCATTAACCGGAAGAGTACAGTATGGGCGTACGAACACAATAAGCAAAAAATTTAATAGGGCAGAACAACTGAAATGGGTTTTTTGTTCAGTTGAATGGGTTAATATCTTCACAACTCTAGCGTTAACTTTAATACGATTCACGCTGAATTTTTTCAGAAAGTGAATCATAGCTGGACAGTGAAGAATTTCTCTCATTGCTATCAAGAATACTTGGAGAACTTTGTGTATTTATCGAGAGGAGATGAGACGTTGACGTGGTCGATCAAAATTTATCCAAAGGGCAACGGCGAAAACAACAAAGACTTTGTGTTTTTGTGTTTGAATCGTGTCGTGAGTTCATTTTATTGCGTTTTCTTCTTTATTCTGAGCAGAAAGTGCATTTCTTGTATGAGTAGTGTAGTAGTAGTTATAATGGCGGGCTTCATTGATCCTCTGGGTGAAGGTGTTCCTGTGACAGTATCGTGTAGAAGTCGATGCTTCTGTGTACAACAGTCCTTTTATCACAGTTTTGACTTGCCTTTTCTCGACTTGTCGACAAAACCGTCGCCCTCAGAGTAATGAAAATGTTTCGGAACGTTCTTAATGTTACCCAGTTCGGCCTAGCCTAGATCACTATCTGCATAACCGCTTTATACGATCACTTTGAAGTATAGTCGAATCTTAACAATTTTTTTACTCCCTTTTGGTTCAACCTTCCGCCAGCACCAGGTGTCGTTAGTATTGTTGTTTCTGCAGGTGAATAGCAATGCTAAATCAACGAAGATCGGCTTCAAATCGAGGTTCATGCTTAGGACAGCGGAGCTTAAGGAGATTGACGTGAGTGCCTCTTCGAGTATTTGTGATGTTCTCATTACATTTTTTTGTTGAAAGGCAGACCTTTCGCTTTATTTTATACCGAACTCAATAGGGCTTTCTGCTACTTTCAAAAGAATTTTTCAGATGCGTATTCATCCGAACCCCTCACATTCCGATTATGTCTCGTATATCAAAAGAGACATTCTATTCCCACAAATACTACCGAGAGACTTGATTATTGTGAACGTTGAGATCGATGTTGCTGTAGAGACGATCACTACAACGACTGAACCAATAATGGTATGCTATATACCTCTTTTGCGTTTCAAATTATATGTGTAATGGGAGGACGCGAGATTTGGAGGGATGTTCGGCTGTTCTGCACGGTTTTCTTCAAAATGCTATCATCCTGTTAAGGTGTTCATTCCACGTGCTTATCGCTTTGTGACCAGTTAGTGCAGAAATGTCAGGCTAAAGGTTGAAGGAATTGTTTATGGGACATGCTTAAGAACCGTCGAGCTAGAGGTGACGGTGAATTCGGTGCATTCAATGTGGGTCAAGGATGGGGCAAAGAAAAAGATGAAAAGGTATATGGTCAGTGGACGAGGGTCGTGTTGAATGAAGAAAACTTTTATTCGGTCATTCATTTTCCTGTGGGTCTCCAAAGCTGAGTGTCTAATGGAAGGGGTAAAAAAAATAAGGCATTAGGCGCTGCACAGTCGCTTTTTGATACGCGCCGCGCTTTCTACCTCCGTTCAGAATTGTGGTGGCATTCTGAGTGGATTAAACAATGACTTGCGGGCCCTTGAAGACAGTGATTTTATTCATCCAGACAACTTCAGTTACAATTTGCCGGCCCGGGATGGAGGGCCTGGGGGAGGGGTTTTGACGATGAAAGATGCAGGGTTTGATCAGAGAACCGCTTCTGTGGAAAGAAGCACCACTGCCTATGTCCACTTCCGACCCTTTTAATGGGAAGTATATGTTGCCAGATACGTGCATTGAGTAGGAGTGGAATAGTAACGGATTTCTCGTGCGAACCACGTGAAGGCTTTTAAACATAATGCTGCTGTGTAAAGGGCATTTCAATACTGTTTTTGAGTTTGATCAATATTTATGCAAAGTACGTTAATGAAAAGTTGCGAATTATGAAAGACGTATCTGAGTCGATTCCGATCAGTCAAGTGCAAAACCGAGTAGTGGTAACCTGATTTTAGAAAATGCAATGATTGTAGTAATCTTTTGAAGACTCTGTTTTAATCCCGATTGAACGCTGGTTGCAGTTGGTAGGAAGATGAGAACACTGCTTCTCAAAATTTTACTTAGTTGTTCAGAAACTGTTGGGGCTCCTCATGAGGGAATATACTACATTCACGTTCCGTTCTATTTTGCTGGGAATAACATCATATTTATAATCGTTTAATGTTGGGGTGTGTGGGATTATCGGCTGCGGCAACATTTCTGTTGGACTACGCACATTTGTATTGAGGGAGGTCGCCGGGGCTGTTGGCAAAGTCC